ATCGATCTCACATCCTACCAGTGTTTGACTTTGACCCAAATGTTGAAGATATAACACTAATTTATTGGTGAGCTTGATCCTGTTTCCCTTACCAGATGTGATCGACAAAGTGGGATGAATATGAAGGACATTCACAGAGCATGGAGTAGCAAATCAAATCGCTCAATCATGCCAAGATGTTGATATGTAATAATTCATAATTCAAAAAGGTGAGTTTCAATCAACGTTTTTAAGAATTTATTGATGATTGACTAGTGGGGAGTTGGTAGGCCTTGTTTCTCCTCATGCCCTGCCTCTTTCAATCATGTTGATTCACCTATTCGCCTTGTCAGATGATGTAGTAACATGTGCAAAGGCTAGCTTCCCAAATCGGATGATGCTCGTTGAGAGCAGCCTGTATAGGTCTGTATAAATTCCGCACTTTCCATATCCGTGCGGAATTTTTCCGCGCTTCGCGCAGGCTCCAATTCTTTGCACATCTGGGAGACGGTGTACACGGGGTCGGGTGTACATACAGCACTGTACAGTTGATTGAGCTGTGTGATCCATGTACATACACGATGTACAGAGATCACGTGATTTTCCCCGAATCTGAAACCAAAATTCCCCGGGGAAAATCAACTTTTTTTTGTAGTGTGACACTGTCTTTTGACCCGGTGGCAGCTCTACTTCTTCCCAAACTCCTAATTTCGTCAACATCTCTACTTCTTTCTTACATGCTTCTTTCCACTCTTCTTTATGTTCACTGTTCATAGCTTCCTGATAACTTCTTGGTAGGTTGAATGCGATTCCTGCTGCTTTAGCTTGTAAAAGTTGTATGTTTGCATCTTGCTCTCGTACGGTCTGTGTGAAAGATTCGTCGTCGAGGAAATAAGATACTGAAAGAGATTCGAATAAATTTCTGAGTTCTTGATGTGCTGACAGTCGATCTTTTGAGGAAAGAATGTTGTCCAGGGAAGTGGGATTTGTGTCGAACACCAGAGATTTGGTGTCATCCTTCTGCTTGGTGATTGATTTTTCGTCAAGCCATTTAGCATGAGCTGAATCTACAAACTCGTTAGTTTCAGGAATCCAAAATCTCCACCCCTTACTTCCTTCTAAATAACCTACAAATCTACACTTCACAGCTCGATGATCTAATTTCTTTCTCTTCTCCACAGGCACGTGAACGAATGCCCAGCTTCCGAATATTCTGAGATGGTCTACTTGAGGTGCAAAACCAAACAAAAGCTCAGTTGGAGTTCAAGAACCGGTATTTGAATTCGGGGTTTTGTTGTGGAGACTAGTCGCTGTCGTTATTGCGAAACCCCAAAACTGTCTAGGTAAACCTGAGTCTTTCAATAATACTCTCATACCCGATTGAACAGTCCTGTTAGCTCTCTCGATACTTCCATTTTGTTCATGATAATAAGGAAGTGAGTTTTGAATTTTAATACCCTTCTCAGCAAAATAAGTCTTCAGGGAATTGTTCACAAATTCCCCCCCTCCATCCGTGCGCCAATGAATAACTTTACAACCAGTCCTTCTTTCCGCTTCAGCAATGAAATTCTTGATATGTTGACTTGCTTCATTCTTCGTCTTCAATAGATATGTTCTCATGAAAGTTGAATAAACGTCGCGAATTTCTAGGGAATACTCTGATCCAGAGAATGTTTTCACCGGAAAAGGTCCACATAGATCTGCAACCAACACCACCGGCGCTCCGCCTGGGATAGCGTGAGCGCGGCGGTAGCGGAGCGCGCGCTCCGCCCGCGCTAGCCCTTTTCAGATATAGCGGGTTTCACGCACTGCTATAGCTATGGTGAAACCCAAATAAGTATAGCGGTTTGGATATCCGCTCTGTATAGCGATCTCCCGCTGTGCTATGAGCCGCCACAGCGGCTGCGAGCGCTTAGCGACAGAGCACAGCAGAGCGCCCTATAGCGCCTCATATGTAGCTACCAGCAACCTTCATTTCAATTGACAGTGAAGCCTTGTAAAGGGGAAACTTGATACGCACGCAGGGATGATCACACTGAAGCGAGCCCAAGAGACAGTAATGTTCCGGTTGGCCTTCAGACATACGGACTTGATCTCAGAACCGATGTGCTCGCCTTCTCTATCACAATCTGTCTATATCATCAATCGATCGGATCCTTGAGCTTCGGCCTGCAGATTATGTTCAATACCTTTATTCTCTTGAATTCGAGATGGTCAGTACTGATCATGAGGACCACGGAAGGCGCGTGATCCATTTCACGCACAGGGGTGACAAAACGCTCGATTGGCATGTCGAACGAGGCAAACGGGTCACAATTTGACCATTTTTTGTGATGTGCATCGAAGTCAGACTGAGTTAAATGGCCCAAGAGCGAAGTGGCGGTAAAGCTGATTTGCTGAGTCGAAGGAAGAAGACAATAAGTGAAGTCAAAGTTTTTGACATATCTATTTGGTGATTGTCGCTTTTGATGACCCACACAAAAGAAGAATGTGTTGCAGTTTCTCAAATGTCAGTTCAAGTGCTTCCCTTGGGCATCTTCCTGACAAGTTCGGACGGGTGAGGTGTTGACCAGATTGTTCTCACGATTTGAAATCGATTATCTCTGTGATTGCTTGAGCTATCGAGGGTTTCTCCGCCACACACAATACCTGAGCAAAAGTTTGAAAGGTGTGGTTCCAAATATCGGATGCGATGATCTCGGAGCAAATATACGAGAACCGAACCTTGCGCCGCTCATTTTTAGCCCGGTCTTCAAGTTCTGGTGTGCGACCTTCTGAATCTAGAGCTTCTAGCAATATTGCACTGAACTTATCACCCACAGCACGGTTCCGAAAGGAATGGAATATAGCACCAGGCATGTAACTCAAATCCAAGGGAGAAGAGGGCTGGAAGGTGAGATTGCTGATTGCTGATCGGCTTTCTTCTTCAAGTCTGTCTGCGTCTTCATCGTCAAAGATGAGACCGGATATGTGGTTAAAATACACTCATATGTTTTATAAAACAATTCTTTTTACTATCTTTCAAATTTGCACCCAATTTGGTCTCAACATATACAAGACAATGTTTGTATTCTTCTCTGCGATTAGATTATTGATACATCTGTTAGCTTGTATAATCAAAACTGGGTAAAAAAACCCTTGGACCGCGCTATTAGGCGATATTCAGTGTGAGATTTGTCTATAGCGGAGCGGAAGAGCCGCCCCGCTCTGAATGGCCATAGCGACCATAAAATTATAGCGTAGTGATTGCGCTTTTATATTAGCGCTAAATCGCTCCGCTCGTAAAAACTGTGGTTATAGCGGAGCGGAGCGGGGCGGTGGTGGTGTTGATCCCAGACACAGACACCAGACGGCGATGATTATCCGTGACCGCATGGGCAATGCCAAACAAACATTTTGCGATAGCCGGGTGCTCGGAAACTTGAAAACCGAAATGCCACAATGCGAGAGCACGCATGAAGTCAACACGACATAGGTTGGAGATCATTTTCGCTACACGAGCCTACCAAACGCCGAATGGACAAAGAGGCATGATCTCGAAGAACCAGCCACTCGTGGCCCCATTGTAAACCTTATAAAAGCATCTATTTAAATGAAAGACAATTCGGCACGGTATTAGCATCCTTTACCTCACGCATCATATTGTGACAGACTGTACATGAGCAGAAATCACCAAAGTCCACTCATCCTATCGACATCTTTCAAAAAAAATCTTTAGGCCGTACAAAGGCAAAGTTAATATGGGGCTAATACCAAATCAAGTGTCGGCTATGGAGGTGATTCATTCTCTGGATCACCACTTTTTACAAGAATACGGAGTTGTCAAATGGACAACCCTTTCGTGGTCCAAGCACCACATTGCGAAATCTGTGCTTGCGAAATTGGTCGCAGCATTTGTTAAAGGTCAGCCACCAAAATACCGGTCATAGCCAAAACTTACCCCTGCGTCTTGTCCTTAGAATCAGAAGGTGAGGCTCTTCCAAGACACACAATTGGGACTATTGTTGGTTATGCACTTGGTCCTACGTACAACTACACCATTCTGATACCTTACCACGGCAACCCAGAACTCTTGTTGTCTGAGCACTGATTTGTGAGTAACTCACACACACGCATCAGCGCGCCAACACAATGTAGCTAAATCATTATCACGCACAGATCCAAATCCCATGTAGTTCAATTTCGTAGCAGTTATGTAATGTTGATTAACCAGCCGCAGTACGAATTAGTGATCATAACATTATGTTTCATAAGTTGTCAGTTAAAATCAACAACACAAGAGTTTGAAAGAACACCTACCCTCCTAACCTGGTAGACATGCAAATCACATTTTGTTATAGCTTTCCAAAAGTAATCTTTGAGTCTGTTGCGTCCTGACCAACAAGGTGTCGAAGAATGTAATCACGAACTCTTCACGTCAAGCCTGTGCTTTGTTAGAACTGCCATCGCGAATGCGCATGATCTTGACTATTTTCCCTTTAGAAGGACTTGTATCACCTCAGGCCCAAACGTTAAAATCACGCTATACAGTTAGAAGAGCGCGAAGTTAGTTACTCATAGAAAGGCAGCTCTGAATTCACCCACGCGGTGTGAATCAGCTCATGATTGATCCAGATCACTATTCTTGCACGTTTTTATTTTTGGAGCGTGCACACATTAGTCCAGCGTTGCACAGACGCCAAGCAATTCACACACAAGGGTGCAAAATAAGACTAAACGCAGTTGGAGAAGATGTATGATGTTATAAATTTGAACATTATCGCCATGCAGAACCCTGTTATAAAATTGGAACAATCATTCTAAGACAAACAGTAGTGGAGTGAAACTGACATATAAAAAACTTCACATTAAATAATTGAACCCCAAGAGCAAAACGTCACAATAATTTGATCATCGCGCATCACGAAACAACATTGTTCATGGCCTCCAATTTCTGTTTTCCATCGCCAGGACGTCCTCAACGTCCCTTACTTTGCAATCACAGTTTGATACATGGTTCCATTGATCCTTGGTCCCCAACTTTACCGCCGCGCGCGCCATTGAGTGAGTAATCTGAGAGGAGCAGCCCAGGCGAGTGTACCAGACATCCTGACCGCACGGTCCTTTTCCACTCTGCTCTTTAGAAGGCAGGGTGTGGTGGAAAGTTGATTTACCGCTCCAAGCAATCTGGACCGCCGATTTGCCTCCAAAATTAATTGCAACTCGGTATTCTGGAAAAATAAACCAACCACCAATAATAACAAAACCTTCACTCTCAGTAATTATCTTACCGCTAATACTATCCACCGGATACCACAAACAATATACTTTTCCTTTATCGTTATCCGTGTGTGGTTTATTATAAAAATTTCCCAAGGTGAAAGCAAAGTTCGCAGCAAAGTCGTGAGGTCCCAATGGCTGAAATTTCGAAATTGAAGTCATAGAGGGCGCTCTAAGGTCATTTAGCTGCTGCCGCGCGATCAGGAATCCAACATCGCAGAAGTCAGAGAAGCGAGAGCCAATTCGCGCACCAAAACCAGGCAGTCTGTCGAGAAACTTTTGATAGAGAGAAGAAGATGATCCCTTGGGAGGCAGATAAGGAGAGGTAAGGACGCTAGAAGAATACCCCACCGTCTGACCGAAGCAGTGCATACGTCCATGAATTAAAGCTCCATTCGTAGTGACACCACTCTTAACTTCCACAGTAGACACCATTCCATCATCTTCAGCATCCGAAGGTGGAAGCGAAGTTAGGGGTGAAGATTCGGGAGAAGAAGCTGGAAGTGGAGTTAATGGTGATGACTCCCTTGATTGGTAAGGGCTGAGCGGCGCAATCGGATTGCCACACTTGGTCAAAAAGTCGGAAGGCTGGTATAATGTAGACAGCGCTCGAATGCGCTCAAGCGAAAACTGTGCATTCGGGGTAGGCAAGCGTTTGAAAAGTTTCATCGACATCATTATTGTATCTACGTCATTTTGATGATCCTGACGGGCTCTAGGGTCCATAGCTTCTAGGTCCTCGAAGGCGAAGGTAAACACGAGCTTATTGGAATGCCGATCAACATATTGACCCCGCCCATGAGTAATGATCGTGTATGTATTAAAGATTATATCCATAGTTCGTTGATGGTTTTCGAACGGTAGAATTGGGTCGTCATAACGGGTGACTTGCTTATTGTATGTGCTCAACAACCGATTAGAAGAATTTTGTGACTGGTCAGTTTGTCGAGCGTCATTAAATTTCCGCGCCCTTGCCGCATGTCGTCTAAAATCGAGAGACATCTTTTAGATTTATGGTCCACCAGGAGAAAGAGAAATCGTGCTTACGTGGTTTCCTTACCACTTGCCTTCCGAACTATGGGTTTAGCAGCAGGCACACCTTCTACTCCTTGTTCACGATAAAAATCCATTGCTTGCTGCCTGTACATTATCCCAAAATTTAAAAATTATTATCCACCTTTCAACGTTGCCAAGATGGCCAGCAAGGAATACACACTTGACACCCCCCTTTCCGGAAATGTTACCCACTCCAAGTATTGCGTGCTCACAGGCCGAATGGAGCCAAAACTTAGGACGAGGGAACCCATCTGGCGCAAGGTATTCATGTGGTACGTGTGAGTAGGACTTCGGAACTGTGAATGGAGGCGGAAGCTGAATCGTAAGATATCAGAGAAGGTCCTATAGTCGAGGATTTAGTTGATTTCGCAACTGCACAATCTTCGCATGGAATAGTCTTGGTTAGTTTTTCAGGCAAACCCACACAGGGTTGATCACGGATTAATTTCAGGAGGGTCCTGTCATTAGGATGACCCATTCGGCGATGCCAAAGCATGGAATCGCCAAGTACTGCAGCTGTTGTCACGGAGTGAATGATTGCTTTCAAAATCCATTTCCTACCTTGACGTTTTGCTGTTGTTACCCTTGAGTTGTTTCTCCAGAGTTCAATACCATCTGTTGAATTTCGAAAAGTGATGCCTTCCTCTTCAAGCTGAATTCCTGAGAGGAGATTGTGACGCAGGTTCTCACAAAAATATACATTTTTAACGATCAAAAACTCTTCCGAGTTTGTTACATTGCAAATACGAACAGATCCTACAGCTGAGATAAAAGATGAAGAAGAATCGTTGGCCATCTTAACTGGTAAAGGATCAATGTCGCGTATAGAAATGAAATGAGATCGATTGTTGAAAACGTGGTGTGTCGCACCGGTATCGAAAATGACAGTAGAAGGATCGTGGTCAGTGTCTAATTGCGATATTAGAATATGCCTGATTTCCACGCACCCAGTGATGTCGATGTCGGCGAATTGGGGTTCTACCATTCTTGCATCTGACGTCAAAGTAGCTGATGATGACTGCTTCTTGTTCTTCTCATCTCTGATGAGAATCCTACACTCCTTCTGTTCGTGACCTTTCTTCTTACAATAAGAACATTTTGATTGAGATCTAACAAATTTCTTTCCAACATTGACTGATAAACCTTCAGTAACACCTACGTTTCCTCTTTGATGCTCCACATCCGCTGCCCCTATGGCCCAGGTCATGTTCGAAGAACTGATAGTTGCCAAGGGGTTGGAACGCAAAGTCGATTCGAAAGTGTGCGTAACATTTGGGAAACCGCTAGGTAAGCTGATAGCAAGGATCGCCGCAAAAGAATCATCTGATATCCACATTCCTGACCGCTCCAGTTTTTGTCTGATAGCCGAAACCTTCGCAATATGAGAATCGATTGTCGTGGATGATGGATTGTAGGTCGTGGTGTGTAGTTCTTGGTACAAAGAAATCCTACTAGCGTAGGTCTGTCCAGAGAATTGAGCCTTGAGGTAAGCATAACGTTCAGATGGTATAAGGGAAACTTGATCCAAACGAAGACTAAGATGCTTGTCTATAGTCCAATGCATCAAACCCACAACACCTTCTGCATAATCATCACTCCAATTCGGTAAGTGAGGCAAAGCTCCCGGTTCGATGTAAGGACCACATCCCGGAAAAGATTTCAATAAGCGTCGAAATTCCGCATCCCATATGTCGAAATTGTGACCGTCTGGTGCTAAACTGGTAAGTCGATCAAGCTTGATTGGGCAGTACTTCCATAGAGCAGCAAATGACTTGTTGTTGCCATCGCTATCGACAGTCGTAAGCGTTTGAAAGATGTTCTGAATGTTCTGTTGAACATTCTGTTGTTGTCCAACGTTTTGTTGATGTTGTTGGAGAGTTTGGTTAAGAATCGGAGGTTTATTCGTTCCGTGGGGAGTGTGTTGATTGGTGGTCACTTGACTTTGTCCTTGTCCTTCAGCCGTGGATTGAATGCCTTCCATGGTTTGGGTGGATAAGGATTGGTCTTGGTTTTTATCTGAACGAGGTATTGGGCGGCTACGCCGCCCAGCGGTCGTGCCTTATTGACACGCCAGCACCCAACAAAAGCGCGACCGCACTCGCATTGTGAACAGCTACGTTGTTAACGCTTCTCACACAATTCGCTACTAATTACAAGTATTGACATTCCTTACAATCCCCCATTTCCTACTATCCTGAAACATCGGTCAACCTCACTCATATCCGTACCCTGCTGCGGCGACTTCGCCAGCCTCGATGCGCCTCGAGGCCCCTTTGTCTACGACTTCTTCGAGGACGTTCTCTCTTGCTCACTAGTCGCACTTCCGCAACCTGAGCAAATTCGTCATCAGCATCTTTCTCGTTCCTACACAACTGATCTTCGGACTCACCTTCACTTCCCAGCGATTCCGAGCGACATCGAAGCCAAATACATTCCCGCGCAATTGGAGGATATTGTTCACGTCCAAAGTGTCCATGCTCAGCGTGCAGGTAACGGCCGCATCTAAGACGTAAGTAACATAAAACTCGACGACCCTCCTCTCCTATCGCAGACGTGAGCATAACTTCGTCAATCAAGGCAACTCGAAAAACTAACCACGCGGTTGCAACTCCGATGCCGAACGACGCACACCTCTTCCCTCCCAATCCCACCAACCACCGGTCGTCCAAACCATTCAACGACTTGGCCGACACCCTCTGTGAGGACCTTGTTTGTCAAGCTTACAGGGTTTGCACTTTCGGGGTCGAGAACGATTGTACCGCGAGCCATTTCAAACAGAATTGGTGTCCCACCACCTGAGGCACCTGCCACCTGCCCATCGATTCTGTAACAATTCCCAGAACACAACCTGCTCTCTCCTCTCAACCCTGCAACAAACAGACTGACTGCTCTGAATTCCGTCTGCCTGAAAAACACATTAGTCTCATGGATTCGGAACCTGCCGTTCCCATCGTTGTCTGTCACAACCTAAACACATCATTAGCGCCGTTCCGAAATCGGGGACCTCGCTGACTCACTTGATTACCCAGATAGAAGACGGAGCTGAACCTCAATGGCAAATTTAACGCCGGCGCTCCAAGCATAATGTTCGGATCGTGAAGATGATAGAAATGAGACGATGCTCAATTGGGTAAATCGAAGAAAAGTGTAGACAGAGATAGTCAGACGGCCATCAGAACTCACCCAGGTCCTTTTAACCCACTCTATTCTCTCAAACCCCAAGTAGAAGTCTCACTTCGTCCCTTCACGTTGGAACCGCCGAGCTCCACCATCTCGATTTTGACCAAGCCACGATCGTTGTGAACTCGACCGCCTCGCCACTCTCGCTTTGGATCACTCACGCAACGAGTCGGCGACCACAACCCTAGACTCGCCCTTCAGGATTAGTCCTGCGTCTCCAGGCATACACTTATGTCCAGGCTGTATCTCCCCTTCCATCGTACTCGGACCATCACAGTTCTAACCAACCACTTCACTCATGACCGACACGATACGCTGGCCAGCCTAGTCGCTCGAATGATACCGGACCAGTTCTTCAGCTCCACGTACCTGTACCTGAGCACAACAACTTATGATTCATGGAGTCCTTAATCTCCCAGGATCGCGTCGGTAACCCCCTTCTTCAACCTCGCCAAGTCACCTCAACCACGCTCTATTATCGTTATGATCTCCAACACCCCCATCGTAAGTCTATTCGCATGAAACTGACATTCAACATGACACTGACACTTCTATTACTTTCTCAGCGTTCTCATGTCCCAGCACAGCGAATCACGTCTGAACTTCTCGAACAGGGTACACCTCCCTGCACACGCCCATTCTTCGTCATCCTCGAGTTTCAGCGACGCGGCATGCCTCACGCGATCGTCGTGTACAATCCTACCACTCAAGTCACCTCTGTCCAAGATTTGCCAGCACTAGCAACCCCGTTTGTCTCGAGGTCCTAACGTCTTGCACTTGATCAGCTCCCGCCGAGGCGCTGGTCAGACACTGCGACCCCTGGCTCGCGCCAGTCACTCTAATTTTACGGGCTGTCTAGGTTGCAACTTGTCTGTGAACTGTCGCTCCACGCCCACGCCAGAGCCACTATCGGCTGCGTGCCTAGATATGTTCAATCATCATGCACTTAACGCTCTTCCACTATCATGCAATGCCCATAGCTTACTATTATGACCAATACCTGTTTCTCCTACATCGCCAGTCCATTGTCGTGACTCCCCGCTCCCCTCATAGCTTCTGTTCTTCCCTACTAAGCTCTGCCCCTAGTCTGCTGAGCGACATTCCACTTCGCTCCCCATGCGATGGCTCAACCCCACGCCCTGCTCCACGTTACACTTGATGTCACCGTCTACATCGAAGAGATGGTAAGTCAGCTTCTGACACACGACCTGGCATTGGTGACTCTCACCAGTCGACAATTTCCCGCTTCTGACCTACGCCTTGGCATTTCCATCTCCGTCCAGGTCGATGATCCTGTTGAGTCATACTTCTATGCTAGGCGTCGCTTCTGGGGTGCCATACTACTGCCTTCGCCCGCTACCGACGCCTCCAGCATTAACGTGGTTGTGGCCGAACCCTATGGGCGTCCAATACTCAATCCCTATTCATTCTACGCCCTTCGTGGGCCACTTACCATTCCACCATACTCGTTTCCTCCGACTTTAACTGTCAACATTGATCAACTTCTTGAACTAAATCCTGCAGTTGATCATTGTTCTGATCCACACGACGTCGCCAGCGCTTCGGGCACTGGACGCGTTGTGTCTCGTGAATTCAGCCAACCTAGAGGCTATTGGTTAATCATGGTACAACACCGCGGTTATGACCACACCGTGAGCCAATATCCCTTTGCCAAGTATCACAGTGTTTGACGCCCACTCCTCCAGGACCGAGTTCATCGCGACTTCCAGTTTGAATACTTCGCCAGTGCCCCAATGATCCAGCACGTTGGGCTGGAGCTCTTCACGCCGGGACACATCTTAACATTGTTGTCAGCCATCTCTTCCTACTCCCCGGTCAATGCTCGTTTCTCTATGAGAGTAAGTTCTCCTACCACAACCCACGAACCATAACTAAGTACTGACCCCCCCTCTAGCTTTTGCATGCTTCTGCTGCGATCCTTCAATAGCCTGCAGCGCGCTCCATTTCTCAACACGCGTCTTCACGACACGACACACCTCCGCAACTCCTCACTCTGTTTCCTCTCGTCGCGCCAGTATATACGCCTCCCATGGATACTATTACCGTTCTCGGCATAATATTTCTCTGCTTCTCAATGTCTCCATTCACTATATTACAGCTGATATATAGTGTCCACACGGTCCATCATATATTCTCAAATTCTATACACACGTAGACACTTCTTATATTTCTCTTTGTTTCCGCTAAACATGATTTGAAGTACGGGAATTCGCAGCACTTCCTGCTACAGAGCCAATCGTGCTATGTCGTTGATGAGAGAAGTACTAGCTTTGTATGAGATCAATTCGCTATGTTGAGCTTCTTCGTGCTACAAACATCTGGGAAACTCCGTTGACGAAAGCAGTACCAGTGTTATATGAGTTGAATTAGCTATGATGAGCTTCTCGGGGGTACACATATTCCTACTCAGGTTCCTCGGTGGCCTCAGTACCCCCTGCTTGGGAATTGCTCGCCAGACCACATCTTGCCAAGCTCCGGCGCAGCCTAACGCTTGCCTCTTAATTGCCAATCCCGCTCAGTTTGGGATTGTTATGCGGACAGACCAAACATCACTCTATGGCGAGAACTACAACTAAGGAGCATTTCGCTTATGTAACTCCCGTTCTGCACATAGAGATCGGAAGTCGTTTCCGCTCCTTGCATTTCTTGAAGTGCTTAGCTTGCAACTGAGTAAGCTGCCGCTACAACATCGTCACGCTCGGCGCAATGTACCTTGACACTCCCTGATGGAATTGGAGCGCCCTAAGGACTATCGGATTAACAATTCTCTGTTGTACATACTTCAATCGACGCACATACATTGCAAATCCAGGATCAGAGTCATGATCATTAAACTACAAGTCAGTCTACCTACAATTCATCACATATAATGTACACTCATTGCCAGGAACAAATTGATTTCCAAGAATTCCTCATATAGGGGATACAAAGTTGAATCTGGCCACACGACCGGATTTTTGGCCAGATCTCATTTGGCCACGGTATCAACTCCTTACATACAACGTTTGTTGTTCGCGCTTCTTTACAGCCAAATGAAATCTGAACCAACGTGCCCTCGGCCGATGTTCAACGGGACAAACCGACATACAATTGGCCGTGGGCGAAAACCGGCTCTGGGAGTACGACACACACAGTTCCTAGAGTCTGTCCTTGAGACTTGTTGATCGTCATGGCAAAGGCGATGGCGATTGGAAACTGGAATCGAAAGAAGGGAATAGGTGCGCTGTCGTTTCCGGGGTGGTGAAGTACAATCCATGGAAGCGATATACTACGTCCACTTTTAGGCCCATTTACTATCAAGCACTGGAGCGCATTGGTTCCCGTCGCGGTGACCAGAAGCCGTGTTCCGTTACAGAGCCCGGTAGCCAAATTCAAGTTCCGGAGCAAGACGACCACACAACCGACTTTCAGAGTGATTCGATGGGCTGGGAAACCAGCAACGTCAAAAGTATTCAAGACATCGGCAGTCACGTTTTCACTACTTTCCTCGTCAATGCGATCTATCGACTCGTACGTAGATTCAACCCCTGCGACTAATTTCATCAAGGTATTGTTTAATTTGTCGACAGTCTTGTTAAGTGGAGTTATAATGGCCCGGGAGCCAAAATAAACAGCAAGTCGCTCCCATGACGATTGGCGCACCATGCCGTTTACGCCTCGGTAAAAATCTGCTAACCTTGGAGACCGAAGCGTATTCCCAGGGCGAGAAGTCACTACCTCGACATGCTTCAGGTCCACCATTCCTGACGTTTGAGCCTGTAGGTGCCCAGAGCCCAGTCTAAGCAGCCACTTACCAAATTCTGAGTTGGAACTTTGCTCGCCGGCTGTCCCGGATGTCGATAGGCGCATATTGATCCTCAGCTTGAACTCTTCAACTGACTCCCATAATTCCGAGTGTTTGAAGCAAGCCCTCACCGAGTCCATAACCGTTCCATGTGGCACAACTGGTAAGATTTGTCTAAAATCCCCGGAAAATAAGACCGTCATCCCCCCAAATGGCGAGTCATTGGAACGGAGATCTCTGAGTGAGCGATCAACGCACTCGATCGCGTGCTTGTGCATCATGGATATCTCATCCCAAACCATGAATCGCGCGGTTCTCAAAAGTCTGCCTAGTCCCGTGCCTGGTCCAATTGAACACGTAGAGTCCGCGTCCACCTTCAACGGTATCTTGAGTGTAGAGTGCGCAGTCGCGCCTTCAAGCAGTAAGAGAGCAGCAATCCCAGACGAAGCCACCGAGACGAACGAAATTTGATGAGCATTGCAATAGTGGAGGCACGTGTTAAGCAAGAAAGTTTTCCCGCAGCCTCCAGGGCCATCGACAAACATCATGCCACCCTCTTGTCGCGCTACATTCTCGGTGACTGCCTGGTAGAATTTGTTTTGATCCGAATTGAGCAAAGGGACTGAGGACTGTAAATATTGAAGGCTCGTTTCTGCAGAGACTCCTTCGTCCGGTGCCTCTTCTTCCAAGTTCCCAAACGGAAGCAACACGTCCCACTTCACGGGATCAAGGCCAACCGACTCTAAACTGTGACCCATGTCGACGAGACAGTTCCCAAGTTGCAATCGCCCAAAATGTTCAACTTGTTCTTCGCTTGCTTCGACTTGAGGATGCGTCAGTGCGAGACGGTACCGGCAGTCGTCAGAGAGGTCTTCAGCATGCGAGCTCCAAAGTCGCTCAGGGTTCGATGGCGGGCTGTGCACCAATATAATTGCAAACATTGCTCGCAGCTGTCCACCAGATTTCCACACAGCCGCCTCGGTGAGGCACGCATCGTAGTGATTGTCGCTGAGAAGTAGACCTCGCGCTTCAGCGGCAGCACGATATGAACGATACACGACACCACCCACAGTCCGGAGTGACTCAAATGACGTAACCCCCGGTGTAGACGTGAGTAGCAAACGTAAATAGTATCTATCTCCATGTCCTGGCTTCGCAAAGTAGAGCCTCGCGACCGCTTGAGAGTCCTTGTGCCTTCGAGCCCACTCCTTGTCCGACTTGTTCCACCAGAATAGTCGAGTCATGTCGGTGTAGAGTAATGATCGAATTGATAGTGAAGATCTTAGAATTGGCAAGTTTTCTGCGCACAGTCGCATGTACTCCGTGAGAGTTGTTCGCGTAGCACTGCCAGAATTGAGAGCAGCTCGAAGCCCATCCGCGTTTTGGAAGTACACCATTTGATTGTTTTCTTCATGCAGGGTCAGCCTTCGTAATCGCAGGGTGCCTCCCCGAGAGTGCAAACTTGAATAGCCGCCACGCAGCTGGAGTTGGGAGTCAGTAGTGGTCACCATCAGCGTAAATTGGAAAATAAGCTCACCCTCAGCTGCTCCTAGGAATCGTGCGTCAACGTAGTCGGCGGGCTCGCTTTCGGTCTCGAGACTCAGATCTTGTCGATCATGCCCTTTGGCTATGTACTTGTAGAGGTATTTCACAGCCTTCATGCTGACTGCGATCTCGACATTAACGTGGCATTCGTACTTCATGAGTAGGAAGGGATTGTAGGGAACAATGTCTCGATTTGTGTAAGTGTTCCCGTTTTTCACGAAAGACCTTCCGTCGTCAGGCCTGCGATACTTAGGGTAAGAGTCCTCCGTCATCGCTGTTTCGTCTTGGAATGCCCTTGGATACCCATACTTACACGCAGTTCCGTTCCAACAAGTCTTCCCTTGCCCACAAGGGCCGTGAACCATGTATTGAGTGACAAGCTCGTACAGAAGCGGCTCTTCTTCAGGGTCGGGGATCGTTGCTCGTACAATCAGATCTACGTCTTGAGCTGTCTTCGGCGTAGTTTCGCGATCCAGAATGAGAATGTTGTGAGTGTGGGGCGATCCCCTTTTTTGAAATTCGACCGTGTGTACGTCTGAAACGCATACTCCTAGGCGCATCCGCTTCATGACATCGTAATGAAGTTCTTTGAGCTTCATGTGATATACCCTGGCCAACAAGTCCGGACGGTCCTCTGGAAGCTGACCTGGTAACAACTCACGAATAATTTCAGGCCACTTGGTATTTGCGGTCATGGTAATAAAGAGACTCGGATGGCCGAATGTTTTGACCAGTGCCATTGCATCTTGGTATAGCTGGTGCATATGCCGTGGCCCGCCAATGAAAGTGGCCGGGAGGATTATGTTTCGACCGATGGTCAAGTCATCGTTATTCAACGCCTCAGCAGCCCCGTTGTATAACTCGGCACGTAACTTCTTTTGATGTGTTCGGATATACTTCAATCGTGCGTTTTCGACGCAAACATACATGTCGACTATATATTCTTGGAATAGCCTGCCACCACGCAGTATGGCTGAAAACACGTCGCGGCGTTGGTAGAGTGTGTACGCGAACCACTCTAATGCCGTAATTTTCCCGTTGGGACCTAAGTAATGTGTGTCAGTTATTGCGTCCATGAGGCTGCGAGTGAATTGGCTTACGTCGTGAACTCATGTGGCGGTAGTGTTCATCCCAGCCATGGGAACCGTACATGAAGAAAAGGGGGTATCTCAGCGAAAAGTAATTAGTGTTTAATTCAGAAATTCTCAGCAATTCGCCACTCTGGCGATGTAGTATGATGTCCCTGTCCTTCTGTCCAACTAATCCGTCCCCGGGTAGGATTGCAGCAATTTGACTGCACGTGGGGTAGTTGTAACGGTTAATGTCCCGATTCCTACGGTTTAGCGATTTGATTTTTATTGTCCTTGTGCGGCCTGCGCCTAAGATAGCCTCGGCCGCTTTGTAGAGCTTGGCGAACGGATTGTTGTTGTATAAGAAGGTTTGAATCGTGTTTAATGTTTGAATGTTAATAGGCGAGTCTTTAGGCTTGCGAAGAGCCAGCTCTTCTTCGGCTTGATCCCCAAAGATAAACATCTGGGCAAATGCCTTCTTATGTCCTGGGAGTGGAAGCAAGGAGCCGATTAAGTGCGTTAGCTGGCCCTTGATTCTGTAGTTCCACGCGCCTCCGTTTCCAGCAACGCTCATATCCTGATGTGCGGCGGTCGACGTGAAGGACACTGAGTTGTTAAAAGTCCTTATATTGGTTCTGAAATTCCGCGAAACTGTCGTTTGAATGTCAGTACTCTGAGAGAGTGCAGAAGGGAAGGGTCTTACCTCGATCTTGATCCGTGAAGAGACGCTGCAAGAAGGGAGGCGTGAGGTCGTTCTCTAGGTGGTCACTTGGAAGGGCTACTGCACCTTGTTGGCAGCAAGTTGAATAACTAGCACTTGACACGGTCATCGTCCGCTTAGTTCGCTCGAGACGCCAGTGTAATGCGCCGCACGTAGCACATGGGTCGTCGCAGTGGCCTACGTCGTATGGAATTTGTCCTTGAAAGCGGGCAAGAATACTCGCTTCAGTGGTTTGTTCGATCGTAGCGCAAGCAAGGCCACGGCTTGCTACGGGCGCTTCAGACTCCGAGTCCGAAATCTCGCTTTCTGTGTCTGAGCTCATCTGAAGATGATTGCACTTCAAAGTGGTCGACGAATGAGCGTTGTCAATTGGAGGTAAGCGCTTGAGAGAGTCTGAATGAGAGTAAGAGACTGGGAGCGAAGAGCTTAGTTGTGGGCGCAATGTTTCTATCTCAAGGGTTGATCATGGGACGGTCGAGGACTATGGAACTCAGAGTGAGCCTAAAGCGGATCAAACCATTGATCGTGATCTGGATATGAATTAATTGCAACAGACAGGCGATAATGGAGATACATGGAGTTCGTGACGAACAGCGCAGCAGAAGACGACATGGATCTAGAATGAAGAGACAGCGAAGTGGACCTTGCAGACAACGTGGCTAGTTGGTTAGTATCCGCAGTCTAACCTTGCCTGGCTTTCTTGGCTTGACGTCCAGCAGCTGGGCGTTTGGAGCCACTTGGCCCGGCCTGAGCTGGCTCTGCCTCGGTCTCAACGACTTGTCCGTCCTCGTCGAAGTAGCTCTCTTCTGCGGGGAGCGGTGGAAGCGTCTTCGCTTTCGAGACGTGGCGAACAGCTTTCCCTGGATTTGCAGCAGGGGTGGGGCTCGAGTCAGGGACGTGCCTAGAAGCAAACCGTGTCAGATGGGTTTTGACAGTAAAGGGTATGCAGCAAATTCACTCACTTGGCGGGCCGTACCCTGCCGCTGGGTGTGACTTTGGTTCCCGGAGTGGAGCGCTTCTTCGTCGCAGGCTCATGGCCACTAGCGACGTTGAGACCGGTCACCTAAAGATCAGAATCAAGGGTTAAATAGGGAAGGTTAGCGAAGTGCTGTTTGGAAACCTTGCCTCGACAATCCACCGATTGGCCTCGTTATCCCAGTCGACTATGAAGCCATGGACAAGTGTTTCCTTGCCGTCTTGGATAAGACCTTGAGAGGGCTTCATCTTGGGAGTTGGTCGGATGCGGTATTCGACTTGAAACGGGATTGATTCGCGGGCCTGAAAGAGAAAAGTAAGTACCCTGTGATTCAGTTCCGGGAGTGATCGACTAACCTGTGGATCGTAGTCAGTGTGAGCCATCACGAAGCCGAGTATCACATCATCAGAGTCGGTGTCCGTTATCTCTCGACGCTCGGAAATGATGCCAAAACCTGAGACCGAGGTGTTGTTATTCAACTCGCCGGTAAAGGTGTCTGACGTTCCAACCAGGATCTTATGGTCCGCTTCGAAATAAAGTTTGTAGTGAGCAGACTCGGAACTCGGGATCATTTTTGCCTTGATCGCGTAGCAGTGATTTTCCAATGGAGCTTCCATCGAACCACAGTACGCAATCAGTGAACCATCGTACTCTCGTTCATTGTCTCCATCCCAGCCGTTGCAAGTGATTGCTACTGTCGTGCCGCGATAAGTGTAATTTCTGTTATCCGCGGGAGCGAGCTACAATTGGGACACCGTCAGCATATTCTTGCGCGACTTGGATGGAATCATCTAAGACTGACAGTTTCTGACACTTCAACAACGCTCGAGACCATAAACAAATGCGATTTCTTCACCGGTGCGTTGGGCGAGGATTTGTTTTGTGCTTTGGACATCTTATTGACTTCTTTGACGTAAGTAGGTGTGAGAGTTGTTATTCGTCCTTTACCAAGTGGCGGGGAACTTGCTTGAAGTCGATTGGTCTGGTAGTGGAGATCCAACTGTATGAATTGTGTATATCATTACAACGAGCGCTCAGATTGGTAATGAGGTCAAATGGTAATGAACTTACAGGCGGAAGGGTGTTTATTTGCGTGGTCAAGAGGTTGAGGTAGATTTGAGGGAGGCTGTGAAAATGTGAAAGGGATAGGTTATCGAGTAGGAGCTCTTGGAAGTGAGGGCAGGTGGTCGTTGAGCAGGAGCGTTATTGGATGTTGAATACTGGAGGAGATTGGGAGTACGTGAACTTGCCGGATGGATAGAGCTTATATACGCGAACGTTTAGTACATCAGGACGTCGCGTGTGTGGGAAGGGTGGTGGGATGGCTGGAACATCATTGGCTCGTTCGCCGATGTAACGAAAGCTACGGATTCAGGTTCTGACTGAGTCGTACGCTGGGAGTGTGCACGGGTGCTTTGGTTTGATGGGTCACTCGGTCGTGTGAGAGAGCAAGCTGGACAGAGCCAACGTTCCGCAAATTGGCTGTCAGGTCGTAAGTGAAATGAGAGGGCTCACCAGTTGGACCCAGAGCTACCAAATTGAACATTTATTGGTTACTTGGCCAACGCTAGAACGCCTAGCTAATGCTAGAAGGCACTTACTGATTTGCTTTCGTCGTGTTGATTGAAACAGCTCGGTAGGTCGTGGGGAGCCGGCGTATTTTGGGATGTCGAGTCGAAGGATCTAATGGGCTGAGGAATCAATGGAACGTGTTTGTACGTGCCTGATGAGTCGAAATGAGGTTAACCGCCGCGAATGGTGTTGAGCTGCTAGGCGTGAAAGTGGGCTTGTGTAGGGGAGAGCTTGGTGGTTGGTGACGTGCGTGACGTAAAGTTAATGGGAGGGTGTAAGGGGCGGGAAGTGTCATGGAGCGTGGCTGTCGTGGCGAAGGGGGCAAGGGGCGGGAGGTGTCATGGAGCGCGGCTGTCGTGGCACGTAGTGTAGTGCCCTTGGAGAGCAGAATGGGAAACGGTTGTCGTTTGTCGTGAATTTATAATATAGATCACTGATGTCTTCAATCCGTGAGGTAGTATCACGGTTGATCGTTGATCCGCTTGGTGCTGTTTCAAAAGAGTCGTCGATGTCCGATGGTAACATGTAGCTCATAACCTGTAGAGCGGGACAAGAACTAGAGAACTAGTTGTTAGTTCTAATCTACCGAAACAATGAGAAAATGTGACAATTGCATAAAAGATGAAACATGTCTAACCTAGAGAACTAGTTGTTAGTTCTAATCTACCGAAACAATGAGAAAATGTGACGAGAGAAAAGACAACAACTTTAGGGAAGAAAACAGAATCTTTTATACAAAACACGTTTCATGTGGCGTTCACAAATGACGAAAAGAGAAAAGATGAAACCCGGTTCAGATCACAATGTTCCTGAATCTTCCAACTTAGTCTAAACCGATTAAGGGTGAGAAAAGGCTGAGTGGCTTGTCTTCTATGACGCCTAGCCAGTCCAGGCCGTAACAATGATGCTCCTATGCCCTACATACAGTATGTAATGATCAATACAAAGTTTTCATCACATTCCTGGTCAGGACTTGGATATTGCAGATTCCAGATCTGTATGTACCAACTATATCCCATAGCTGTGTTTCTAGACTTTGTGTATCAGTCAAAGTAAACTTACTGCTAAATTGAGAATGAATGATTTTTTGAAAAAATGTGCATCATGGTGCAAAACCTGGTTTGGTTTTTGACCAAGGTTTGTTTCTCTGCTTAAGTTAAGAATACAGAGAATACTACAGGTTACAGGGCATGGGTTGCACATGTAATTTTCCCATGTCATGTGTAAACAAAATTCATCCCCAAGACAAAAAACATCCAAGATGACTTGTACCAACACATCAACATGGATTTTTGATTCCCAAAAACCATATCCTGATATGAGTCATCTTGTATGTCATGCCACCCAGGAAGTGTCACCATGTCACCACATGACTCCAGATGTAATTTGATACAAGATTTATTGAAGGTATCACAAGCAAGAGGAGGAAATAAACAATCAAATCAATTAAAACCACACTTCCCTGATTTTTTGTTCAACTTGAGCATTGCAGGCCTCAAAATTCAATTGATCAAAACACTCAAGCTGACTCTCCACCTCCTGACCAATTTATTTTCTGAATATTTTGATTTTCTGCTTGCCACTTGATACAATGCCATCTAATTCAATCTGAAGCTTGAGTAAGACTTCTTTGTACACTTGTAGTGGCTTGTTTACTGAGTTATTGGATCTTAGAAGGTGAGTCCAAAGCCAAATCAGATGTGCTTGGGTCCAGAAATTGAAGATCAAGTAATGAAGGTTCCATAAATTCCCTGTGTAACCCATGAAACTTATATCAATGGGTTGCAACGGACTTCAATATTGCCAAAATCAAGTCAAGATGCCTCAGCCAAGAGTGGGACCACCAAGACCCTCCTTGAAGATTTGACCCAACAAAAGAAGAATCCTGGGCTTTGGACTCTTTACATCTCAGGGAGTTCTAATTATCCCAAGAGCATGAAGTGGTGTGTTGAATTAACAGAAGAAAATTTTCAGACCTGGGCTGAAGAGGCACACTCTAGCCAAGATGCTGGGATATCAGATCTTGCACAAAGTCCCCAAAAGCTGAAAGCTCAGGCTAATCTGGTATGCTGGATCTTTATCTCCATGAAACTTCCATGAATAACATGATTCAATTTTTAGGCTGAACCCACTGAGGCTGCAGCTGTTGGCAGTGCAAAAGAAGCAACATCAAGCCCAAAAATTCAGAACATACTGAGGAGGTATGATCAAACCTGCTTTCTCATTGAGCTTGCTTCAATCTTTCCTGCTGACAATTGTCAAATCAACTCAGTCCAACCAGGGCAATTCAGGTTCTTCTGTTGCTTCAGATGAATCTCCTGATACCCGTTTCATTGGACAACTTTTCAAAATACATTCAATCAACATTGCATACCATCAACATATCATCCTGTCATTGATACCAAAAACTCTGACTAATACTTTGCAATGGCATATGGAAAATCCAAAGAGTGGGCTAAGCATTGAGCAAGTCAGTCATCATGATTTCACAGCGGCAAGCTTTCTGACATCAAAAGCTCTTAAAATGATGATGATGTGGACCATGAAAGCCTGTCGACAGAGCTTAAGTATGATCTTTTGAAGAGTTCTGGTAAAGTAACTTGTTGACATGCCAGTCCTCCACCTCAAATTTCACAGCCAGCCATCAAATCTCCTTTGATTGCAAAGCTTGTGGTAGGTGTTGTTGCCGCAGTCGGGGTCGCAAAATCTCCCAACAAACAACCAGTGTCCAACTGAAATTCTCCCAGAACATATTGCTTGACTCTGATCAAGAACCCACGTCAAGCTGCCAGCCCACCTCCATTATCTTTATCCCCTCCCTATGCCCATGATCCTGAGGATCCGGATGGCCTACTCCCCTTCCTTTGTTTTTGTCATTTCCCTGCAGAACAATTTTGAGAACTTGGTGAGATTTTATCATGTGCTGATTTCACTAATTACCAGATGATCAACAAGACAAACCTTCCATATGATGTTGTAGCCCAACAAAGACTTTCAAGTGTTAACATCACCTCATTATACAGAGGCACTGAGAAATTTTGATTGTTCAGAACTAACATACAGCAGCCAGACTTTGCAGACAGGAGCAACAGGCTTTGATCTTTGCACCCTTTCTATGAATGAATATTGACCTCATCAAATGATGAGTGAGCTGTTCAACCTCATTCATTTGATGAATAGTCACATCAGATATAAATATTGACATGCTTTCAAGCCATCTAATTGATCTCCATGATTAATTAGCTTGGCAGCCTGAAGGATGTCATACATTCAATCTCTATTTTTCTTTCTTCTCATCAAATTGGGTTTGCTCAAATGTGAACTCAAAATCTTTGTTTGAATTAGATTGATCTTGTTTTCATTCATGTGAATGCAATGCATTATCCTCCAAATATATAACATCATGTAAATCTTTGTGTAGCACATTGACGTGCACACACAAAAGACTTTCCTTAGACCCTGTAAAGACCCATCAAAGAGGTGCCACAGCAGGTGCATCTTCCCCTTATCAACTGGGATGTTGAAAGTCAGTTGACCCTGGCTGATGAAAAAGGATTCCGCAAATCCTATGAATCAACCACTATTCACAAAGGGCACTCAACAACAATCCCAGTCTCAATCCAACCAAAAGACTTTGAGATTTGTTTCAAAACTCTCCATGTGTGTACATCAACGTGCTACACAAATACTGACACGGTGTAACCCTCTACAGTATCAGGTGGAGCTGATGTGATTGATCTTGATTGTCTTCAATCACCAGATACTGAACAAATCAATCAAAAAACTCATAACCCAGAGTGCATGGAAGTTTTTGAAGTTGGAGAGATTTGATTTGCTGTAGAGCCTTTTGAACGACTCATCCAAATCTGAAATTCAAGAGTCTATTGAGTCAAGTTTCCAAACTTCAACGGAACCTTTGCTCCTTGATCAACTATTGAGTAAACTGTTGATCATCAGGATTAACTCAAAGCCTCTGCTTAAGCTCGATACTGATGAGCAAGAGCTTACTCACAAGTTGATTGAGTAAACCTTTTGCACTCCAATCAAGAGCTGAATCACTCTCAACCAGGTTAATTGACTTGATCAACCAAACATTTTGAACTCCAATCAAGAACTGAATTGCTCTCTATTGGGTTAATTGACTTGATTGACTAAAAACTTTGAACTCCTATCAAGAGGTTCAATCAAGAGGTGTATCACTCTCTATCAGGTTTTGAGCTTTCCTGATTTCCATATACTCTCATAAACTACATTGCTCAAGGATTGATTTGTTCTTTGTTTGGAAATTTGATGAATTGACTTGTTTCATATACCAAATCCTGAGACAGTACTTTCAGCCCTAAAACAAAAGAATTTACAACATTTTTGCCAAGTCCAACATAAAAAGAGTAAAGAGCACAGTGGAGAGTATCAAAATGGAGTAGAGATGACACGGCCGCCCTATGAGCCATCCAATATCCACAACTACTATATAACTTATGCAGTAAGGCTTGCTCAAAGGTTTTGCATGCTGCCTTTTGGATGTGAGCAATTGGATTCCTATAAGTTGCTAGGACTTGAGACCAACAAAGGTGTGTCTGCATCACCCCAAAACTCAACTTGATTGGGTTGAGTTCAGGGCAGTACGGTGGTAGGTAACCCAAAAGGATACCTAGAGTATGTGTCAGTGAGGTAGATACAAGAGTAGGAACATCAAAAACATACCTTTGTTCCTACAGAGCTCTCCCACTCTGCCTCCGCAATGGATTGAAGCCTTTTCAAAAACAAGAACACTATTTGGGGCAGGGTACTGATTCATTTGTGGGAGCTTTGGAAGACACGTCTGAAATCAGTTGACTACAACACCATGCCTAGAGGGAATGGACTTACCAAGCTAAGTTCAAGGAAGCTGTCAAATCTCTTGCGAGTTACTGGACCTTTGAGGACCAAGACTGCCAGTAAGTCATCATAACTGATGGCTGGAAGTAATGAATATTGTCCTTGATGGATCTTGGAAATTTTCCGGGTTGTTCAAGTGCCAATTTTGGAACACTGTTACTTTCACAGGAGGTTGCAACCACAAACTGCACTCTTGTCTGTCAAACAGAGTAAGCCAACATGATGATATGATGGTTAACAAATGTATAAAAATAAAATTAGAGCAACAGAAGACACTGATAAGAACTCGCCAGTGAAGACCAAAAACTTTGCTGGCAAGGCCATAATCTCCTCCATCCATTTAAATTTGGCAAAATCACACTTCTGAACATTGCTGCCCCCAACTTTTTTGATAGTGATGCAAAGATGTCTGTGTAGTTCCAGTTGCACCGTGCTAATTGAGGGCATCTTACCTTGAGAGCCGTATAGCTTCTCCCTGATTTCATCCAAGAACAAAGAAGGTTCTTTCTCAATGATTGTCTCCATGAACTTGCGGTCTTCTGCGTACAAGTGCTGACAAGGACCACATTTCTTATAGTTGTGAGGCTTGCATATGACATCCTGTGTACAATTGTATAGTTGGGTCCAGAAAATGAGTGATCGATGTGATATGGGCTTGCAGAGTCGTTGACATATGGTAGACCTGGGCATTCCTCAAACTTGAAGGTTTGACAACTAGGACCTTGATATTGGGGGAATAGACAAAAAGGCATTTTTCTCAATGATGGTGAACAAGAATTGACGGGTTTTTTTTCCACCTGGCGGAAATATTTTTTCAAGTGAAAGGACACGGCAGGTGGGTTTCCACGCTGTGAACACCAGCACAGTCCGCAGCATATTTGGGCTGGATGTTTGAAAATTTGAGTCAAGTGTGTCAGGTGGTGGGCGGGAGTCCAGGTGTGCTGCACAAGGGTGCGTCCGGACGGTGCATTGCACCTGTCGCACCCTCGAGGTCAGAAATGGGGGGGTGTGAGGGGTGAGAGGGTATGAGGAACCCCAAGTCACCGGGGGGAGCAGAATCAGGTTAATATGTGTAGTGGTGATATCATAACCTTGAAAAAACTTTTGTTTGTCCCAAAGAAATCAATACCTACACCACAATCAAGTCGAAATACGGCATTTATTTGTTGTGGCGGAGCCCTCAAAATCAAAGTGGATTCAACCAAACACAAATCACGGGGCTCGCTGGACTGGGTTTCTTATGTACAACAGAAATTAGAGACGACAAAAGCAAGCGACGTGAGGCTAAGTGTACCTACTGCAAAGAAGAATGGTTTAAGTTATGACTTGGCTCTGAACAAAAAAAATATGAGATTTCAAGAAGGGGGTGCGACGCACCCTTTTGGGTCGAAATTCCGCGCACTGGTGCGCCAGATTTTGAAAAAGACACGCCCACCACCTGACAAGTGTGACAACAATTCTAGCATACGTAATATTTGTATGTATACACCGAGTCCAGAAGGAACCTGAAAGAGTATTCCTCGGTATTTTTTTGATAGAAAGGAGCGGCTCAGGAAGAAAAACAATAACTCTTTATGGTTCAGGAACATCCACTGAAAAAGTTTTGTAAGTATGGAAATTTTCTCCAGCCAAACTTGATTCCCCTCACAGGCAAAAGCGTGTGGGGGTGTCGTCCCTCGCTGCGCTTGAAGCGTGCGAGAAGCAGGGAAGGACTTGGATAAGTCTAGGGATTCACGTTTTTTTGATAATTGGCCGATTGATACGTACAGCTATTCAAGAAATTCGTGTCCTTTTTTTTTTTTTTTTTTCACCCCATAAGGTTTACACTAAATACAGCGCTGTATTGCCTGCAGTAGTTCATCTCCGGCCACGGGAGCTAAAGAGAGCTGTGAAGTAGGGTTAACCTGTTCCACCCATCCCTTTCACCCCCCCTTCCATCTTCCGGTTTCTACATGCTACCGCCTGTGTGTGTGGGAATTGCTCCCGCTCACCCTTGGCACCTCCATAATCAAATCACCATAGCTCTACGTACCAGACAAAGTTGATTGGAAATCGAATTCATTCGCCACAGCTCATCTCGCTTCATCATCCGGTTCTAGAAAGATCTTTTTGGAAACCGCCACCGTTGGACTTTCGCACCTCGACCAAACCTACACCTCGCCATTTAGCTTGTCACACGCTATACAAAGCTTTCAATGTGAATGACTTCAGCCTCTACTCAACTCACTGATCTCTGGTTCCAATTGGCGTATTCAAATTCATCTTCAATAGCTCGTCTCGCTTCTTCACCCGGTAGCAGAACAATTTGGGTCGCAAACGAGAGCTTTCGACTTTTGCTCCTCGACGACTCCCACATTAGCTTGTTGAATCTATAGCAATACCTCAGATGGTCTTCAGCTTTGGCTCACTCAATGATCTCTGGTTCCAATTGGCATATTCAATTTCTTCCTCAATAGCTCATATCGCTTCATCACCCGGTATCAATACCATTCTGAGAGAACTGCTAGCAAGCGACTCGATTATTTGCACCTCGACGACTCCCACATCTCACCATTTGGCTTGTTGAATCAACAGCACCCAGCAATAGTTTCAATGGAATCCATCCTCGCGTCACTGATCTTTGGTTCAAAAGATGTTTCAAATATCGGTCGGAGAACCCGATCTTTGGTCCGGTCAATCTTTGCCTCCTTGACCCAGCTCCAACTTCGACTGGTCTCTACCTGCACTAGCCAAAGGTTAAAAGGGTTACCTTGGTCCTCTTCTCTCGGTCTCTGTCTCAACACTACATCGCTTCAACTCGTATTCTTTCATTTCTTGATTTCAAAGATGGTCCATCGTCGAATTCAAAATGTACCATTGTGAGTTTGAAATTTTATTCTTCTGGTTTTCCGGTGGAAGCTAAAGGGGTTTTTTGGCTTCCCACCGACGCAGGCAAGACACTACCAATAGGCCTATCAGCCCTACTCCTACTGGACCAACTCGCATGTCACCTCGCTTGCTTCGGACCAATACCTACCGCCCTTTGATTTCTTCTTTGGCCGGTCCCACAGGGTGAGCTGTGGACCTAATCATCGCGTTATTTCAGATCTAACGTTTGATATTGTTAGATTTGGACCTCCCGGAAGCCCTAGGAAGCGCAACATGCCATACCCCGTGCCACTGGAAAACTCTCTCCAATTACCGACACGTCAACCTGCTGGTTTCATGAGCGCGAGCGAATGTGATGCTCTTGAATGGAGTCACAGTGTTTCGCCTGCCCAAAACCCGTTCACCAGGCTACGTAATGCCTCAAATTACGCTCCAGGTCCCTCCCCTATTTATCAAGCGGGCTACGACCACGCTGGCTTCACGAGCAGTTTCACTTCTGATGGCCAATTGGCCCTCGACACCGCCGGATCGCCCACTCTCCTGGGATCCTCAACTATCCTCGGGTCTCACAGTTCACAGACTAATGCTTCGACTACCTTGACTTCCAACACCCCGTCTGGTCCAATAACTCTCGTCATCGATGATGACCATAATGGAGTGTGTCGTGATGGGTGCACTGGGTGCAATTGTAAGTCTCTCATCCTTCAATCCTAAAATTTCTTCATATGCTCATGATGTTAACTTCTATCATAATAGGCTTGCCTGATGACACCTCGGAAGACCTTCCGCTGGCCAATTCCATTCTGGAGGGTCTTCCAACCCGCGCCTTGCCTCTTCCTGAAGGTCCTATCGCCCACTATGACGAACTTCCTCTGCGCACTTTTGAGATCACCTTCAACGTGTATCAACGTAAAGTACCCGCGACTGACTCTGTTGCTGGACGGATTAAGAAAGGCCGCGGTCGCCATTTAAAGGTAGCTCCGAAACCAGCGAAACCCCAATGGAGCAATTACAAACCGCTTGTCCCGACGTACTCTGTGTTACCTGTTGGATCTTTCAGCTGGTCCGACTGGCGCACTAAACTATTCAACGCTTGCAATGAACGCCTCCAAGGTATATCGGATGCTCTAGCCGCGGCCAAACGCGGTGGTACTTTAGCTATTCAAGGTTTTATTAACGGAACGGATCGCAAAACGACCAAGCAGCGCGTTTATCTCACTGACGATGTCAGTTTTGGACAATTTGTTCATGCTATCCTGGCCGCCCCATCAACAGCAACCGTAGGCATCAAGATCGTCCACCCACACCCCAAAAACAATGAGGACGCAAATCGATCTTTGGCGAAGTCAACCAACGGTTCGGGTGCGAATCCACCATCTGACCCATCTGATGAATTGGATGGGTCAGAGTCTGAAGGCGTGAGTGCTCTCCCACACGATCCTGATATTGTTGATTTGGATTGGCGCCTCTGACGAGTTTGTATTATTTGCTTTTGTACTTCAGTCTGATGCTCTGACACCTGCAGAAAAGAAGTACAAGCTTTTGATGGCCCGATTTGAAAAGGCATTCAAATCGGGTGAGAATGTGGCTACCGCAGTGAATACAAAAGATACTTCAAAAGTTTTACTCCTTAATACTGCGCGTATCCGAACCTGGGCCAATGACTGGGTGAGTCATTTCATACTGACCGTTGTTCACAAAATGTCCACTTTGCTGATTCTGTTCCTCACTCTAGGCCGATGGAGTGCCTGGTGTGGACGAGATGAATCCTCCTATGGCGAGGCCAAACTTCAATTGGGTCAACGCCAGTGACTACGAAGACGAGAAGGCGGAGCTCCTTGGTCTAAGAGATCGTCGCCCCCGAGGATCCCAGCCCCAGTCTGCGGGTTCGACCTCTGGAGGCACTGTCATCCACCATAATTATTATGGTCAAGGCATGCCAAGCCCTGGAATGCCTGTACCCAGCGCTGGATTGTCCTTCCCCAGTCCTTTTTCAACTCCAAACATGATGATTACCCCCGTCCTACCCGGTTCGACAGAGTCACCCGGCGACTCCATCATTCGATTAGCCCTTCCAACTAACGTTGAACGCCCCGATTTCAAGTCTTTTTTGTTGTTTGCTGGGATACACACCGGAATGAAGAAGACCCGTGATGCATTACAAAACGAAGGAATCGACAACTTCACACGTTTACTCGACCGCAAAACTTACTCGATCCAAACCCTTCACGCTATGGGCATCCCGTTTGCTCACGCCGACGACATTTTTAAGGCAGTACCCGAGTTTCTGAAAACTTTGAAACCTTTAGACTGATACCTAGCAGGATTTGTTTAATCACTTTATTTCCGCGGTTGTTATGTCACAGAATATTTATGGGACATTAAAGATCATGTAGTGAGAACTACTTGACTAATGTTCCCCAAATTGTCTAGATCGCCCTTTTTTATGCTTCTCACCAGTATGTTTTGGGTGCTTTAAAGATCGTGTAGTGCGAACTACTTGACTAAAGTGCCCAGTGTCGCTTAGACAGCAATATGTTTTTTTTTTCTTTTGCTCATCTCCTCTGTTTATGGGGCGTTAAAGATCGTGTAGTGCGAACTACTTGACTAAAGTTCCCAAACCTGTTTGTTACGACGTATCCAGCAATTGTTCTCATTGGTTGTTATTTTTTTTCTTCATAAAATCAAGTTTCCTTATCAAAACTTGTTTTGATAAAGTCTGTGTTCTATCCAACTTGCAATGATATATCTGGCTTCCTCTGTACTTCCATGCATTGAGAGTTGCCTAATCCAAAGCAGGCGAGCAAAGAATGTAATCACATGAAATATTTGAATCACAGACTTCATGTGATTAGATTAAGACCATTTTTATAAGTGGAGAACACGTCAATAATCACGATGATTAGGTGATAAGCGCATTCTCAAAAGTGATTTCATTGGATTCCATCACAGACATCAAAATCCAATGAAATCTACAGCCCACTGGCCTTAGAAAACATTTCAAGGCCAATCACCAAAAAGTCAGTCCCGATGTCGGCTCAAGCTTTATCTTTTTCAATCACGCTCGCGCTCTTTGTTTGACTAACTATAAATTCAATCCAGAACTTCATTGCTTTGTATATATCTCGCCACTATTTAGAGGGGGACAACCTTAGGGAAAAAACATAAAAACGACCGCAATTTTTAGCGGTAGACAACAGTAGACATAAACAGGCGAAAAAGGAGGAGCTTTTTAAAAACAAAAACCAGACAAGAGACCACAGTGAAACAATGTGATACTAAAGTTGTGAGACTACATCCAATAACCAGTTACTGCGTATAACTTATGCATGAGCCCTGCCGTAAAAGATTTCCAAGTCATTTTCTCAATCGCTTCAATCTTCAAATCGCGGGCAGCAAGGCTGAGAGCTTGGGTTCGGCGCAAAAGGGACTTCAGCACGCTGAACGCCTTTTCAATGGGGTTCAAATCAGGCGAGTAGGGAGGCAAGTAAAGTATGCGAATACCCCGCTCCTCTGCAAGTTCGGCGATGCGACCTCCATGATGGATCCTTGCGTTATCCATGATTAACACTGAATTCGCCTGCGGGTATGGATTCATGACCGGAAACTAACACCAAGGGATATAAGAAAGAGAATAAACGGATCAGGAACAGAAACATGAGAACCAAATAAAACAACGCTCACCAGTTGGTGTTTGAGAAAGCTTTCGAATTCCTTGCGATGGAAACTGCCTTCCTGGCAAGCCATAGCCAAAATACCACCCTTGAATATAGCCGGTAAAAGAGAATAACGTTTTCCACCCCGGCTCCAAGGCATCCTTTTGGTTCGGTAGCCTACCTGGGCCCATCCGTAATCCCTGCGCAGGCTTCGCTCCTGAATTGCGCATTCGTCTATCATGATAACAACATCACAAAGTGTCAGTACCGAGAATCTATCCGGAGAAAGAGAACAATCAAGCATACCTAAGAAGACCATCATCTCGGGTCGCAAACCACCGACAGCATGGAGATATCGAGCTCGCTTTTCGGCCAATTGGTTCGGGTGCACTGTACGGGTTTTTTTCAAGCTGAGAGAGAGACAGGTTTTCAGGTCCAAGGTGATGGTCTGCAAGGAAACCCATGTGCCGGTTCGTCGATAGATGGCGTCCCGGATTTTGTCCAGATACATCGTAGGATTCTCGTCGATCATCGTCAATACAAAATCACGTTGATCGTCAGTCAACTTAGTATTGCGGCCCAGTGGCTCGTACTCGGATGGATTTCGGACGACTGCGTAAGTTTGGCGGTACAAAGCTTCCCAACGTGTAAGGGTGCGCACGCTGACTGCTGATCGGAGGCGATGTTTGACTTCGATTTTCCTCATTCCTTCTCGAAGGTACTGGACTGCAAGTACCTTAATGCCAGCATCATACTTTCCCGGTCGGGCGGTGGTTCGGACTCTCATCCCTAGATTGTGTTCGTGTGTAAAAAAGGGTCAGAGATGTGGATTGAAATCAACGACGTAGAATCAAAACTGACCAATACGAGGGGAAAGGGGGAGGGAATCTTAAAATGACGGTGTGGACGTGGTATGTAGGTGGCAGTGTGAATGGCGTATGAGGTGGAGGGGAATTAGTGATACACCCAACCGTATGAAAAGGTAGGAGGACGTAGGTGAACTGCGATAGAACCGGAAGATGGAAGGGGGGGTGAAAGGGATGGGTGGAACAGGTTAACCCTACTTCACAGCTCTCTTTAGCTCCCGTGGCCGGAGATGAACTACTACAGGCAATACAGCGCTGTATTTAGTGTAAACCTTATGGGGTGAAAAAAAAAAGGACACGAATTTCTTCAATAGCTGTATTTTGTCTGTACCTCAGCCAAAATCTCGACCCCCAATTCATATGTTTTTTGTCGGATGGTAGCCGATGGTTCCATATGGGGCGTCCGGGGTCCTGTCCTCTCCGCATCGGCCCAACCTAAAAATAACTGAGAACTCACTATGTTTTTTACAAAGCTTGACAAAAGTTCCGCTTCAATTTGCCAAAGTTTTGCGGGAAGACTTGGACACGCTTCTGGAGATCGATCAAAAATATATGTAATACTTAGTGTCCATTCAGCATACAAATTTATGTAGTTGGATCAGAAATCTGCCCCGCGGACTGACTTTGGATAATTCGATTTTGGTGTGTCCCGTTTGCTTCCATGTTCTATCAAGTTTGTTCACAAAGTGTTTGCCCAGGTTTGCCTACACCACGGGTCAACTTCTTGACAGGCTCGATATCGATCCGATATACAAATTTTTGATATCGGATCGATATCGAGTTGAGATCACTTCGATATCGGAGGCCAGATGATTAGCCTCCGCTGACAGCCAGCCAACAGAGCTCTGGCGGCTGTGTGATCCTCCCTCACAACTGCCGGAGCTGGTCATCAAAGCCCCGCCACGACCGGGGCCAATCGCGAACCTTGGCAAGACAACTTGAACAAAACGGTGCCACCGAAAATTTCTCATCAAGGTAGAGAGATATAGAAGAAAAATATGGGAAGCGGAATTTTAAGGCTCAACATAGTAAACAATCCTTTTCTTGTCTCTCTTTCGTTATCTTTGTTTTCTTTGTCTTATCACCAAAAGCAAGTTCTAGAAACGGCGAAGCAAATGAATTTCAAACACCTCTTCTTAGCCAAAAGTACAGAAGACCAGTATCTCTAACTTAACTAAGTCCCAGCAATCACCTGATCAATTGGTGAATCAACGAGTTGAATCAGCATGTCTCAGCATGAGGGACTTACATCTAATGTCCGGTTTTTGGCCTGAGAGGTAAGGATTTCCTTGCAGAGGAAATCTTTCTTTGTCCTTTTCCGTGAGCTCACCGGGGATCTTTTTACCGCGCTTCATGGGGTTATGCGCCGACCTCCTCTTCAAAATGTACAAGTGAAATCATTGAGATTCCTCGGTTGCTTGCTGAGCTACATAAGTTACTATTTTGTGATTTTCACCTGTAGCTCACATGTAGCTCTGCTAAGTCGAGGACTTATTTCGATGAAACACCAAGCTACAAGTGAGCTACAAGTGAGCTACAAGTGAGCTACATACAAAAATGACAAAATCAAAAGATATGTAGCTCGGTGAACAACCGAGGAATTTCAATCAATCAAGTTGTACATTATGCAGCGAGAGCCAGCGCATATGCCCATGAAGCGCGGTAAAATGTTCCTCGGTGAGCTCACGGAAATGAGAAAAACAAGATTTCCTCTGCAAAGGATTTCTTACCCCTCAGGCCAAAAAGCTGAGTTTAGATGTAAGTCCCTCATGCTGAGACATGCTGATTCAACTCGTTGATTGACAGCTGTCTCAGCATCGAGGGACTTAGTTAAGTTAGCCAGTATCTATACATCCAAGGGGTCGAAGCAATCACCTGATCAATTGGTGTATCCGGTAGACTCATGGCAAGTGCATGTCATGCAAGGCCATCGATCACATGATGTGTTTGAATCCTCGACACGTACCTTTTTTGTCAGTCTCGATGTGGAGTCCTGCTTTTGAAGGGCCCCAATCCTCAACTCAAATCAATTGATTTGTTTGAATCAGTCAAGGTCTCAGGGCCTGTCAATCTGCCACGGAACCAAACGGTTCTGATATCATTACGATATCGGACCGAGATACAGTCAAACCGGAAAAGCTTGACCGATTTTGCCCGCAAAACTCGAGCAAATTGGCGGGGAATTGGTGGCAAGCTTTTCCGGTTTGACTGTAAGTAAAAGTGATATCAAAAATTTGTATATTGAATCGAGATCGAATCGATATCAAATTGACATCGGGCCAGATGACATCGAATTGATATCAGCGCTGACCCGTGGTGTAAACTCATCAGAGTCCCTCTGATGAGTTTAAGGTTTGCCCATCACACAGGGCACCGGTGACCGGAATTGCTAATTATGTTGTGTCACTTTTGAAAAAGTGACACCAAACTCAATGGCTCTCTGGACAGGACCTTAAACTTATCACTTGAAGTGTGCGAGAAGCAGCGTGTGAATTTGAGAAGTTTAACATGACCTCACTTTTTCAAGAGTCATTGACATGGCCGAACCTTCACACGCAATGCCTAACTTAACAAAGTCCCTCGATGCCTCGAGATGTTGTACCGAGCCATTCAAGGCCTTCAATCTTCATCCTAATTCATCCTAGTCTTTGAGTATAGCTTTGATTTGCAAATAAATTAAACATTCCTTCTTTCTGATCGTATATCGGCAAGATGTCCGGCAAAACCAATGTGTGGTCCATTCTCAAGTAAATTTGCTTCACCTTTTCTCACCGCTTTCCGTTCGGTCGATGACCGTTCTCTAACTTGTCTTTTTTTGAATCGCAGAACGGTGGTAGGAAGCATCGCACAGGTCGGTGACAGCCGTTGGTTATGAATGTGTTCTCTTGGCTTGTCTGATAGTCTGTCTGGCTCATACGTACATACATATGTCGCACATAGGTATCTTTTTTGTCGGTAAGTCATTCGAGCTCTATGATCCGTAATCCTTGCGTTTCTTTTACCGGGGACGTATCAAGTCTAACTGAATCATATGTTTGGTAGATCGCAGGATATATCTTGGCTCGCAAGAGCATCATCACTCCACGATGCAGAATAGGTTTCAACGAAGCCAACAAGTATGTATCCTTTCATTCATCCAACCGAGGTAACATTTGAAGCTTGATGTTGCCACCCTATAACCTCTTCAGCGTTTTCTTTACTCCCGCTTTCGTTTTCACAAAAATAGCTTTCCAACTGAAAGCGTCTCAGATTGTAGAGCTTTATGTAGTTATCCTAAGCTTTGGGGTGGTTACCATTGTGTCCGCTGCTTTAGCTTACTTGCTAGGCCTACTCCTACGACTCAGTCCATCCGATCGAAGGTTCACAATGGCTGTCGCTATGTTCATGAATTCGAACTCATTACCCATAGCTCTAACAATGAGCTTACTAGACAACTCCGGTCCAAAAAATATATTTCAGTGGAGCGAAGATGATACGAAGTTGCAGGTACGACTTTGATTGATTTTGTCGAAACCTAACTTTCGAGGGATCGATATTTTGACATCGTTTAACGATTTTTAGCAATCTGCGAGGTCTACAGCGTACCTCGTACTTTATAGCACACTCGGTTTAGTCCTCCGATGGAGTTACGGTGTTCGTCTTCTTTCAGCTCCAAAACCAGAGGACGAGCAAGATAAAGCTCAAAAGCAGAACAAATGGAGGTTTTGGAGTTCTAAGAAAGAAATTCCTTCAACTCCAACATCAGATGAAACACACGATAAACACCCATCCGAACATGGTGACGAGTCTCCTCCAGTAGAAGACTGTCCTGATCTGATGATGATACATTATGGAGAGGATAGGATTAAGTCCACACTGTGGAAGAGAGTATTTACCAAGACTCGCAATTTTTTGAGAGCTTTAAATCGATTCATGAACCCCACCTTGTAGGTTTTTTTTCGAGACTCGATGAGAAAAAAGCATAAACCCAAAAGCCAAGTAAGTTAATCCCATTGTTTCAAAATTAGGTATGCATCCATTGCAGCGTTCCTCGTAGTAGTCATTCCAAAAGTGCAGGCTTTTATTAGGAGCATAAAGCCTTTAGAAGGGTATGTTGACTTTTCAACCTCTGCAGCCAATATAATATCACCAGCTGATCTATGTATCTGCACGTATAACGATCATCTCAGTGGATTAAATTTTGCAGCAGACGTCTCGGTACCGCTGACGATGGTTGTTTTGGGTCAGTCCAGTCTTCTATATAATCAAGAGGAACAACCTGAATTTTGACTGTGAAGGACAATTCTAGGTGCCTACTTTCACAACCCTAAGCCCGAGTCATCGCAGACACAAGGGGAATCTGATGATTGTACAGAGCCAGAGAAGAAACTCTTGAAGGAGCGTTCGAACAAGGTCATTCAAGCACTAGGACCACCCTCTGAGAGAAATACGATGCTCGTGGGAATTTCCGCCCGGCATTTCTTGACTCCTCTCACGTTAATTCCTATCCTTTATGCAGTCACTGGTGCCTTCAAGACTCCCTCTGATAGCTCACAGACTTTCCCGGATCCACTCAATGACCCATGCTTCCTGCTAGTCATGCTGATACTGATTGGATCTCCACCCGCGATTACGCTGGTCCAAATGACCAACTCGAATAGATTCCCGATTGGCTCACCAGCTCATGCACATCAGAAAGTTCACAGTCTTCGTTTTCAACGCCTTATCTCTAAAACTCTTTTGATAGCATATGTATTTGTCACCCCACTCACCATCATTATATTGGTGTTTGTAGCTGTACTTATTCTCCAGCAACGTAACAGTTAAAACAGCAGAAAACAATAATCCCATAGACAAATTTTTCACCATGAATGACAGGTACTTTATGAATTTGATGCAATCAAAGTGATAGATTGAATAGATGCAACATGCCCTTTCAATTCCCATCCATGGTCCGCAGTGAGTAAACTGGTAATAGTATGTACACAGATTGGATGAACTCTGGTAAAAATTTGAGACCTGTCACATCCAGTACCTTGAGGTCTGCACTAATTGATCTTTGCTAAGATACCCAAAGGACAAGGATTAGTTAGTATGAGCTACTTAAAAGCGCCAACATTTGTTTCTCAGGTTTGATTATCAATTTCCAGAGGACTATTATCAAAAGCTCTTTTGTACACATCGGGTGTTGTCTGAACTTTGATACCCCAAATTACCAAGGAACTTCTTCAAAGTTTTTCTCAGTCTGATTATTTCTGAGCTTTGGGACTAGTAACAAGATTTCACTTATACACATTGGGTATTGTTGGCTACCTAAGATTATCTATCAAGCTTCTCAAAGTTGTTCTTGGGATGAGTATGAGTGACCACCACCAACATAGATGCCTTGGCTTAGGGAATCTGAGGTATTATTGGATGAAAATCCTTGGACAGATCTTGTTTGAGGTCCTTATCTGAGGGATTATTATGCACCAAATAATAACCTGTATTAAAACCTCAGGAAGCTTCTGTTCAAAGTTTCAAATCCAAGACTACCTTGGATTTCACAATCTAAAGTAGATATGTTTGCTGTGCCTGTGGTGGGTGTGGCAGGGACAGTGTGCCTGTGGGGCGCACCATGGGTTATTTAAAGCTGATTTCAGGATGTTTGCCCTGATTTCCTGTCAAAACTTCTGGAAATTGTGAACAGATGCAAGGCACATATCAAAAAATCAACAATTAATTTTCACAATGGCTCAGGTATATCAATATAGCTTCCAAAAAACTACCTGAAGATTGCCTCAACAAATCTATCTGAATAAATTACATTGGTAGTCTTAACTAAGGAACGGCTTAAGGCATAGTTCCATGATTGAGTTGGGACGTAAGAGGGTAAACCCATAAGTTGGGAAAACAGAGTTTTCAACCTAAGGGAGATCCAGGAAGACTACACTTCCAGATCTCCCACGAACCCTCACAAGTCCCAATCTCTCATTTTGAACATTCCATTCTTAAGGTTAAGGAATTTAATTTTTTAGAAGAAAGGAACTAGAACTCGAACGAAATTTGAAAGGAACCAAACGAAACACTTTACAAAATGACTTCTTTCACAAACGACCTAAAGTCAACACAAGACAAAATCAAAGCAGCCGGGTTCAAATTGAAGAAGAGTCAAGGAGAGGGTTCTAGCAAGGCAACAACAAGAAGCCAATCGGCAAATAGGAACGGGGAACCAAGCGGAACTAACCAGGAGGCGATAGAAGGAAATGTGGAGAAAGAAGACGAAGAGAGAGAACAAGAGAGAAATGAAGACGAAGTGGGAGAAGAAAGCGGTCAGGAGGAACAGGAGAACGAAGAACAGACAGGAGGAGAGAAAGGAAAGGAGATCGAAAGTGAGTAACAATAAGCTTGCCCAGAAGCCAAAGAATTCCCTTTACCCCACACACGGTTCAAATCAAATACTATCCAAGCCGTTAGTCTCCGCTCCGACTATAATACCCCCCCAATTTCACTATATCAAATTTCCTACAGTCTCCTCTCCAAATATGATACTCCCCCAATTTCACTATATCGAAGCTCCTACTATAATTGTGAAGGAAAATGCCCAAGCGCTAAAAGAGGAAACCTTCGAAAACGTCCAAATATATCAGAGGATAAGTAGAGGTCGTCACAGGAGGCAACGCTGCCACAATTACGATACCGGTATCGTATCGACGATACCCAGTAAAGTAACTGGTCTGCGATACCATGGAAATCAGGAAATAGTACCGTACCTAGACCCCAGGTACGATACTCAGTACAGTATCGCAAAGACGATACTGTGGTGCTCAATACTTAGTAGCGTAGCTCCAAAGGGAGTACGATACTGTTACTGTATCGCAGTATTGCGACTCTCAGACCAAAAACAAAGTAGAGCGGGGATTTCTTGTATTTCAGCCATTACAAACCAGATTCTTGCTGTGTATCATGAAGAGAACAAGAAAAAAAATAGAAGACAAAGATATAAAAACAAAATTTGATCAAAAAGGAAGAAATTACTTTGGTCGACCCTTCCTTTTTCTATTATCCTTGTCCAAGTCCAAACATTCTGCCATGCATTTTTGGCACTCGACGAAATCTTCACCAGCTATATTTATTCCATCTTTAGACCACATGCAACTCCCAACTGAGCGCTCAACTGTGGCTGGTTTCAAAGCACCTCGATCCCGGCAACAGACATCAGCCGCGGCTGAGAAAGTCCTTTCGACAGCACATGAAGCCCCACAGATTGCCAGATAATCCTTGGCAAGAGAGGCTAAGACCGGATATTTTGCAGCATTGAACTTGATAGAAAAGACAGATATGAAACAATCAGTTCAGTCATAGATGAGAAAGAGCATAAAAAGAGACTATACCTTCCACCATTCAAGAGCAAGATTTGGATCTTTTTCCACCTGTTTGGAGGGCTCATCGACACGTTCCAAGTAATTACAAAGCTCGTTTTTGTTTCGTGTGTGAAGTTTCTTTCTATGAGCACGGAAACCATCATCGTCATCCTCTTCGCCATCGTTTGAATCATTTTCATAAGCGTTGATGTTCTTTCCAGCTTCTTCTTCAAGCTGTGCTTTTCGATTTTGAAAAGCAGTTTCGATCAACGTTTTGGCGGTTTCAAACTCAGAAGAGTATTCACCAAAAGCAAATTGGAAATAGTCTGCTCGCCAGCAGGGGTGGAGGATCGTAGCTAGAACTAGAACGTCTGATTTGAGTGCCTCCTCGAGATAAGACTTGACTCGAGCAAGCATTGCGTGATACATAGGGAAAAGCGGGTCGGTGCGTGAAGTACATGCATCGATTTTGTGTTGAAGGGATTTCTTGAGCTTAACATACTCGCGGATGACGAGTGAGCCGGTAGGTGCATTGGCTTCGAACAGCTTGGTGAGTGATTCGAATTCCTGTTTAAGTAACGATGTTAGATGTCAAATAGCCTTGTGTGAGAAGATCACAAGTGTCAACTTACTCGTAGTACCTTGATCAACTTGCTGACCTGCTTCCACTGGTCAGGCGTGATATATGCTTTGTTAAAAATTCCGCGAGGTTGATTTTCATCAGGATTGCTAGGTGCAAGAGCTGGGTTTGATTGCTTGCGATTTTTTCCTTTTGCAAGCTCCTTCTGATCATCTTTAAGCATAGTATCGATTACCTAGGTTGATAATTATGTATGTATGTATTAGTGACTTTGAATTACAAAAGAGACAGTAGGACAAATGGTGGAAAAGACAACAGACACGTACCTCTCGAGCATTGTACAACCTATCCCAGCATTGGAGTTTGATGTTCCATCGAATTCCATAGCCTGGGATTGGTCGAGGAAAAGTCACGTCCATACTTTTGCAAGTAGCATCAAATACTTGCAACATCCGGGATGATCCTCCTATCTTCCGAGCAATATCATCGAGCTATGAAAAAGATTGATCAGCAAGCGTTATATGGATTCATGAAATGTCAGGAATAACTTACTTTGAGAGACAGTTCATAAACGGCATTAGCTTCATTTCGATTAGTTGCTGGACGTTCAAGATCGGGTAAGGGGTCAAACGGTCCGTCAATAATTTGGTACCATTTATCGTCTACTTGATTTCCAGGTATGTTGCTAAGATCAGTTTCGTCGTCATCTGAAACTGTACCGTTATCTTCGTCAGGTTGAGATTCTTGAGCCTGGTTGGTTTGAGGATCTTCATCTTCTTCAGTTATCGTGGTCATCCGGTGATCATCGAGTGGGAATTCGCCAAGAATGGTGGACTTGACAAGAGGTGGCGGTGGAGCTTCAATACCCAAAGCTTGCAGTCCACCATTAACAATCAGTGCAACTTTATGACCGGCACATCGCACTCGATCAGTACGCTCATCAAATTTAAACTCTTCATCTTCATCTTCGGCGATTTTTCCAAGTCGAGCTTGCATGGCTCGAGCACATGTATCGTTATTACTACCTGAATCATGTGTCTGAGAAACCATGTATTATTAACAATAATATGTTTAGTTCATGTGAATCAAAAATAATGTTTGAAACCAAAGAAAATACTTATCTTTGAATATAATTTATGTTTTATAAGGACGTTGATCAAAGGTTCGGCTAACCACTCGCCTTTGTGGTGCCAAGCAATCATTTTCATACAAAGATGCCGGGTGACAAATTTCCACTCGCTGTTGATATATGTAACAGAGGCTGATATGAATCCATATCGATTACGCGGGGAAGTCCAGGCGTCGAGGATTAAGCCAAATTTACTGTCAAGAGCCTACATTGAAGAAAAAAGTGAGCAAATAAAAGAAACAAAGAGCGTTGGAATAAATTAATGAAAACTTATACAGACGGCCAGAAAGATCAAGTGATGACTTACCTGTAGATCAGATATAACTGTCTTTCGCTGACCAAGATACACCCGGTGAGCAAACTTGGCAAGCCAGGTACGGCCAAAAAGATGAGCGTTAGGGTTCGCGTATCGGAAGCAGGCTCGCAGGGTCTTGTCTTCAATTCGTAACCAGGGTTGAGAGGTTCGGATAGCCCACAAACCGACCATTTGATTCAAGACCGGGTTGGAAAACTTGTTGACCTTCTGTACAAAGGATTCCATCGAGGGCTGGACTGCCTTCTCTTCCTTTCTGCGTCTCTCGAAAATCGTGGGAGGAAGCATACATCCTTCTGCAATAGCACGATCCCTTTCTTGGCAGCCAGGCTTTCCAGACTTGCCGTCTTGGTTGGATCCGTCTCGATGGGCGTATAGATTTGAATGCGAACCACCGGAAGACCGAGCATGGAAGCCACAATACTTGCATGGCCAGGAGTTGTAAGGTCCCTCGGGTTTCTG